TGTCCTGGGCTGTTTTAGTGCCGTTGACCATTTCCACATCCTGATCTGAGCTGTCATAGATTAAGAAAGTGCATGGACTCCAGGCTTGGGCAGGGGTGTGAGGACTAGGTTTAAGAAGCTACTGGTACTACCTTCCTTAAAAAAAAAAAAAAAAGATTTATTTATTATTTATACAGTATTCTGCCTTTCTGCCTGCATGTCAGGAGAGAGCACCAGACGTCATTATAGATGGTTATGAGCCACCATGTGGCTGCTGGGAATTGAACTTAGGACCTTTGGAAGAACAGCCAGTGCTCTTAACCTCTGAGCCATCTCTCCAGCTCCAGTAACACTTTCCTTTTAAAGAAGCTGTATAGGGCTTCGAGATGGTTCAGGAGGTAAAGGCAACTGCTTCTAGGCCTGATGACCTGAGTTCAATTTACCCACATGGTGGAAGGAGAGAACCAACTCCCACAAATTGACCTCTGACCTCCACATGTGCCATGGCATGCATAAATATACATGTGTGTATATACATACCTACATATATATCTATACACATACACACATATACACACACAAATAAACACATTAAAGAGGGTGAATAGCCTGGAGAATGAGCAGGTACATGAGGAGACCTGTGAGGTGTGACTCATCCTCTGCACTATCCTTGGTCTGGATGCTCCCGTCTGTAAGCAAAGTGCACGCAGTTTACTGCTTGCTTTCCTGCATTCCTTGGCATGGAACTCAAATGAAAGCCCATGGAGAGAAGCATTTGTGAAAACCTCTTAGAGTCTATGGCTCCTGTCCTGCACAAGTCTCAGTGTTCTGAGGGACACTTTGGAACATACCTGTGACAGATGAGGGAAAAGAAGCCCAGGCAGTTGATATACTTACACTGTGGTGCTGGAATTTGAGCCCACACCCATCATAATCAGTACCCCATTCTATATTAGCATGCAAAAATGTTTTAAAATGGCTTCAAATGACCACAAATCCAATATATGAGCTATGGGCAATGTTTTTATTACTAATAGTAGTGCTTAACTTTTTTGTTTTGTTCTTGTTTTTATTTTTCCAGACAAGGTCTCTCTGTATATCCCTCAGTCATGGAGCACACTCTGTAGGCCAGGCTGGCCTTGAACTCAGAGATCTGCCTGCCTCTGCCTCAGGGGTGCTGGGATTAAAGGTGTGTGCCACCACCACCACCTGGCCTAGTACTTAACTTTCATAAATAATGTTGCTGAGCTTTGGGATCCATGCCTGGAGTGGCATGGTTGTTTGCTTGGCTCTTTCGGGCTCCAGGTTATGAATCGTGGGGTGCTAGTAAGGAGCCCCGGGAGGGCCCAGTTCTCGATATTAAGAAAGAATGTTTCTGGGCTGGGATGTGGCTCAGGGGTAGAGCTCTTGCTTAGTGTGCACAAGGCCCTGGGTTAGATCACCAGCACCACAATGTACAAAGTTGACTAGTGCCAGGCCTTCAGGCTGCAGCTGTTGCCAGCTGGGTCCTTCCTTTGTGCCTGCCTCTGTGCTGGGTGCTTCCTTCCAGCCATTTGCTATGCCTCCCAGCAGCTTTCCGGGAGAGGGAGCCTGTCTTTAAACAGAGCCATTTTCATCATGAGGAGATGGGCCCTTAGGTAAGGAATGGGTCTCGTCAAGGAGCACACAGCTAGTATTGGTCAAGTCCTCCAGTGATCAATAACTTACCCAGAATGCCCATCCATCCCTGATGCTATTCCTGCCCTCTCCTCTCTCTGTGGCCATTTGGATAACGTTGCTGTTTTTGAATTACTTACACTAACTACTTCCTTTCATAAGTGTGTGTGTGTGTGTGTGTGTGTGTGTGTGTGTGTGTGTGACTCTTATCTCTCCTAGTGCTTTCTCTTGTCATTTAGGGCTCTGCTGCAGAGCCACCATGATGGCTTTCCTGACTTCTCCCCTCCCCAGCATGGAGGCAGGTGGCTCCATTCCTCCAGTGCTGTTTTCTCTTTGTGGCGTACATCCCCGCAGGCCATTACATTTGATGTTTGTTTCTTTAGTATCTGGCCCTCTGAAAGATATGTGAACTCCACAAGAGGGTCTGTCTTGCTCCCTGCAGAATCACTTTCCCCGGATCAGATCCTGTTATGCCTCCTCCTTGCAACCCCTTCCGCCAGATCAATAGTGTTAATCCTGTCTTGATTAGTGGGATTCCCTGTTAGGGCGTCAGGAGGACCTGGGTAGGTTGAGCAATTTATTTCCTCTCTCTGAACCTTAGTTTTTACATACAGACACATGCATACCCACGTGCACGCATAGATATGTATACCTATATATCAAGTGCCATATTGGGTGATTATAGGTTCCCTTAACCTTTAAGTTTTCAGAATATGGTTCTGTCATCACCTGAAAATAATCATTGGATGTAGAACTTCCTGATTGTGGCTACAGCCCAGCACTGCAGCTTACAAGGTCATATCAAAAGTGTGCATCCTGCAGACCCAGTGGTAACGGGCTCCCTGGGCCCCTATCCCGTAAGGTGAAGACACTCTATGAGTAAGTGATGTCAGGAGAAGGAAGGTCATGCAGCCCTGGGTGTGGCCCTGTGGCTGGTGGTCATGTAGCTGTCGCTGTTCTCTGATTTCCCACTATCTTCTTCCTTTATGCCCGAGTGTTCCTGATTTAAATTGGTGATAGTCTTTTTTTTTTTTTTCCACATTAGTGACTAGAGCTACTTCTTACCAGGTATTTCAGGGGAAACATGTGCTCTAGTTGGTTAGCATCGAGATGAATTCGGTAGCTGCTGCGGATCTCCTCTGGTTTTCTTCACTTTGAGCCCGATGATCAGTAAATCAGACCTAATGCATTGCAGAATGCTCTGGCAAGTGCTATGTGGGAAAGGTAGAAGGAGAGAATTCTAAGCCGGGGCATCCCAGTGATTGCAGTCCCCAGATCCCCAACCACTGTCCCTGGCTCTAATCTGCAGTAAAAGCCTTCAAGGTGAGTTGCAAGGGATTAGCGGGTTCCCAGAAAAGGAGTGCTTGTGAATGCCTTATGCTTCCTCTATCTGAGAGGCATGGGGTCAGGGACCCTACTGCAAGTCTATGGGGACACTTATCCTGACATCCCAAGCTTAGACAGCAGTATTGCATAACTCTGTTAGGCAGGCTGACTCTGTCCCAGTTCCTCTGGAGCCTGAGACCCTGCTGTCATTTTCCTGGGGTGGAAAAAGCAGTTGCAAAAGATCCACTGTTTTTCTTGAACAAAAATAGCAGACTAGTGTCACCTCCTGATGTAGTTCATGTCCTGGCATGGAGGAGCTGGCCAATCCCACAGACTATCATGGATGGTCTTCTCCCCCGCCCCCCATCAGATGGGTCTCACAGCTTTATCATACATGTAGCAGGGCTGAGCTGGTCAGGCACTAGCTGGGAGTTAGCCAGGAGGGTTGTATCAACCCCACAAGAAAGAATGCCCTGTGTCCTTCTGCCACACAGTGACCTTGCCTGTGCTTTTCTGGGGGCATAGACCCAGGAGAAGAAAAGTGAACCTGGTTTTCAGAGACAGCTTATTCCTTTAATAAAGTAATTACAGAGCTGGCTAATTTGCATCCCTAGAAAGATGCAGGGCAATGGTAGGCTGGTGTGTGTGTGTGTGTGTGTGTGTGTGTGTGTGTGTGTGTGTTTGTGTAATTTTAAATCCCTCAGCCTCTCCTTAATTAGGAGGTGCCTTGAAATATAACGGAACACTGGGATTCTTCAAAGCACTCATTTTCTTGGTGCTTTCTTTCTTTAAAGGAAAGTGTCAGAGACAAACGAGGGATGGCAGCAGCAGGGAGGGTTTCGCCTCCCCCACCCGTGTCATGCAGATATTATCTGCCATAAAGCTGTCGCTGAAGGATGGAGAACCAGCTCTTGGCTGCAGTGGCCCTCAGATAATGTCAGTGCTGAGCAATGACCCAGGATTTGTTGGCACCAAGCAAGCATTTCTAGGGCTCAGGTGCCAGAAGCCATAGCTGAGCTTAGGCAGCTTTCCTGCCAGGGAAATAAAAGGGACTTAGAAGCTAGTGTCCAGGAGCCACATAGTGATTCCCACAGAGCTTCCTGAATCATAGGTAGGCCTGGAGCCCTCCTTTCTACGGAACTCCTGGTGACTTTTTGGCCCATGGATTTATGTTTTGAAAGGGAAGAATTTAGGGAAGTCAGACACTGGTTTCCGGTGTGCATTAGTAACTTTCTCATGGCTGTGACTGAAGACCTGACAAGAAGCAAGTAAGGGAAGAAGGACTTCTTTTGCCTTATAGATTAAGGACACCACAGTCCATTGTGGGAAAACAATGGCGGCGGGAGCAGCCAGGGACCCTGGCAGCAGGGAGCGTGAGGCTGCCTGCTCACATCTGTCTCCACAAGCTAGGAAGCCCAGCAAGGGAATGCTGACTTATTTCCTTCCTTTCTCCATTTTTATTCAGTCTGGGGCCCCAGCCTATGGAATGGGATGGCACACATGCGGGGGGGGGGTATATTCCCCCCCCCCCCCCGCCTCAGCTTATCATCTCTGGAGATACCCTTTTAAAATACTCAAAGGGGTACTTCATGAAGCTGTTCCTTAATCCAGCAAGTTGATTGTGAAAATTAACTGCCAAACCAGGGTCCCATCAGGTGGCTTTGGCTAAGTAGAACACAATAGGGCTAGATATGAGCCACAGCCATGCTCCAGGCTCTAATTATCTCTAGAAGTCTTGACCACTCTAGGCTCTGCACTGTAAAAGATGAATGCCATGGTAGATGACCTTTATTTAGGTTTGGCATATGGTTTTGTTGGTTCTGCCACAGTGGGTTTCCAGCACCTTCTAACACCTATGGAAAAACAACACGTGTGTTTACCTTCATCTCTCCAGTGAGCATCCTGGTGGGGACAAAGGCGAGACCCCTGTCCAGTGTGGCATATCTACCAGGGATTTGATTTCGATTCTATCTTTCTTCTTTAGGCTCCTTATTTCTAGCATTGTCAGTGAATCCTCTGCTGCTCATCTTCTTTCATAGGGTTTTGGATGAGAAGGAGCTGACAGGAGCTGAGCCCTACCTTCTCTGTGAGCTGGGAAGCAGGGCGACATAGCCCCAGTGGCACCCATGCCGAAGAACAGCAAGGTGACCCAGCGTGAACACAGCAATGAGCATGTCACTGAATCAGTGGCTGATTTGCTGGCCCTCGAGGAGCCTGTGGACTATAAGCAGAGTGTACTGAATGTGGCTGGTGAGACAGGTGGCAAGCAGAAGGCGGCGGAGGAGGAGCTGGACGCAGAGGACCGGCCAGCCTGGAATAGCAAACTGCAGTACATTCTGGCCCAGATCGGCTTTTCTGTGGGCCTTGGCAACATCTGGAGGTTCCCCTACCTGTGCCAGAAAAATGGAGGAGGTAAGTGGTATTTACGATTGATCAAGGGTACCTGGAAAATGGGCTGGACTGGGGTAGAGTCACACAGTGTCATAGCTATAAAAAGTCTGGAGGCCATGAGAAGAATGTGGGTTCTGGCTCCAGGCTGCCACAGTTCAGACCCCAGCCTAGCCAGAGCCAGTCAGGCCTGGGACCTAGTACAAGCTGGTGAGCCTCTCCGTGCTGTCAAGTGCTTACTCTGCAAATTGATCGTAGAAGCACTTCCTGCCTACAGGATGGTTGGAAGGATTAAATTAAATACATTTTACATACTACGGTGGTAAAAACAACTGTTGGCTGTTATTGTCAAACACTTAGAGATATGAAGCACTGTTTTAAGCACTTAGTGGATGTTGGGTTCAACTGCTAGAAACTCCTCCCAGCTGTGCATCTTGGAACAACCAAAGAAGCAGTTTCACATGGTTCATCCATCAGCTCCTCCCGGGAACCTTGTTTAAGGAAGAAGGCCATTGTCTTCACTTTAGAGACTATAGAACTGAGGTAGAGATTGGATGAGTAATTTTTTTTCTAGGTCATGTGGCATGAAAGGTTAATGCCCCTGACAGGATTCCACCTGGTGGGCCTGGGCCTGGGCCTAGCTTGTGCACTTTACACCATATGGGTTGGCTTGCCTGCAATGGGGCCTCGTGCTGCATCTGGATGCAAATTCCTCCTGAGCATTGTGGTTTGCCATAAACTTGTCATCGGTGCTGACAAACCACCGAAGGCAGGGAGATGTCTCTAGGCACTGTCTCTCCAGAGTGTGGAGGCTCATCAGAATTTTCCACAGGCAGACCGGTTTGAGATCATGGGAAAATTATAGAAAATGAAAGGCTTAGTTTAAGCTCATGTGTTGCAGTGGTTTTCTTTTTCCTCCTATCCCCAAGTTCCTGAACTAATTATTCATGAGACTCAAAATATTATTTACAAATACCTAGGCCATAGAACTAGGCTCTTCTCTGACTAGCTCTTATCATAAAATAACCCATTTTACTATTCTACCTTTTGCTGTGTGGCTGGTTACCTGGGCTCAGGTACAATGCATCTGTCTTCCTCACATCTTGCCAGCTGAATCTCGAATACTTGGCTCTATCCCTGAATCTTTTCTGCCTCCCGGATGGCCCGCCTTCTATTTCCTGCCTCAGCTATAGGTCATTAGCTTTTTATTGTCAGGTGATTCAGCCACACAATACATAAGATATTCTTTCTACACTCGTGTTTTACTTTCTTTTTTATTGTAATAAAATACTCTTACTAAAAGGAACTTCGGTGAGGAAAGAGTTAATTTGACTGATACTTCCAGGTCACAGCCCATCACTGAGGGAAATCAGGGCAGGGACCCAGGTAGAAATATCTCAAGAAACCACGGAGAAACACTGCTTTCTGGCATGCTCACTTTATAATGCTTAGTTAGCTTTCTTATATAGCCTCGACCACCTTCCCAGGGAATGGTGCTGCCAGTAGTCAGCTGGGCTCTCCTAGATCAGTTACTAATCAAGGCAATCCCAAAAAGACATCTCCAGAGGCCAGTCTGATCTGGGAAATCCCTCAACTGACACTCCCTTCTCAGATGACTGTATTCAAGCTGATAGTCAAGGCTACCAAGGAAATCTAGAAGCTGCATATCCAGGCCCACACTTGTGTTCCTGAGAAAGCTACTAGCATGGAACTTCATAGCTCCTGAGACTATGGGACCACAGTACTCCAGCCTGTTGGATGGCTACAGCTTTGTAGGCATTTTGACTCAGCTTCTTCCTGTCTTCCCCAAGGTATTCCTAACATTGTTCCCTCTTCCAAATTCTGTCCTGTTCAGAGAGGGATACCCCACCTTTGCATTGGTTAATTTTCTCATTACAGGCTAAGGGCGTTTAGTCCATCCTGGTGAAGGGGTGAATGAGTGTCTGTGTCCAGCAGAAGTGCACTGGGGAGTGATGACAAGGCAGACCAAGAAACAGAGAGCCATACAGAACTGGGGACAGGCCACCCCAGTCACCCACCTCTGCCACCCAAACCCCACCCCCTAAAGGTTGTACAGCAGCATTCTTGCTTGGTGTGCCTGTTCAAAGTAACAACAATAACCATTTATATAGAAACAGAGAGTGGGGGAGTATAAAGTGGCATTTTTGTAAATTAAAAATAGGCAAATATCAGACATTTCATATGGTTTTTGCCTAATATTTTCATCCTGTCTATATCACTGGTTCTCAACCTTCCTAATGCTGTGACACTTTAACACAGTTCCTCATGTTGTGGTGACCCCACAACCACAAAATTATTTTTGTTGTTACTTCATAACTAATTTTGCTAGTGTTGTGAATTATAGACTAAGTATCTGTGTTCTTTTATGGTCTTAGGGGACCCTTGTGAAACGGTCATTCTATAGCAAAGGGGTCATGATCCCCAGGATGAGAACCGCTGTTAGACATAGATGACAAAATAACAGCAAAGAAAGATCAAGTGATTTGTCCAAAGTTTTAGAAAAGGTGGCAGGTCCTGGATTCCAGTCTTGATGCTATGACCCCAGAGTCTGGTCTCAGCTCCTTATAAATCCTTATCTCAATTAGCCTGGGCCAAAAATGGGCTCTTAAGCCCCAGAAATAGATGGAGTTTGCCAAAAGCAAGGTGCTGGGTATAAATAGGGATCTGGGGTGCTGCAGAGAGCCAGGGTCCACTCACTTGTGGTTGTGTTCTGCTAACCATCCTAATGCCCTGAGTGGTGCTTGGAGCTGTTCAGTCCTGAAGGACACTGAAGCATCAGAAGAAATCCAGGTGTCTCCAAGCCGTGTTTCTCAAGGTGGAAGAGGGTGCTGCCACATAACCAAATGATTTCAACAATGATTGACGCATTGAAGCACCTTTAATTAACCACAAACTCAGCTTGCCTAAGTGTCCTGGCCTTGAGCCCTCTGGCCAGACTAAACTCCATGTCATCATGACTAGCAGTCATGATTGGGATAGAAGAAACCTGGGACACAGGAGGCCAGTTCACTTTTTTTTTCCCCCATAGGTCACTTTTAGAGGCTCTTCTCAGTTTGTGGGAAGAGGAGAAAAAAAATTATAGGAGATACCAGTGTGCCCTGACACTCTGACACTCATCTCTCTGGACATCTTGTCCCACCTGAGGCAAAATTAAAAAACAGTGAGGCTTTTTCTTGTTGTCTTCCTGCAACAGACTGCTTCTGTTCCTCCCCACCAAGAGACTTAGTTAAAGACAGACTAGGGGTCCGTGCTGATGGTTCTTCAGCCCCTGCCCTCCCCTGGGCCTTTGATGGGGCTCCTTGTGAGGGACAGGATGGATAGGTGAGTGTGTCTGTGTGTGAATGAGTGCCTGTGTGTGTGTGTGAAGTTGGAGCCTCTGTGAGGCTTGGTGGGAAGCTCCTCCTGGAAGGTTCTCCCCATGACTTCCCTCAGCAGATGTGTGCTCAGGTGGGCCCCTGTGGTGTGACCAATCCAGGGTGTGTGTATACACATGCCTGAAGACATTGCCCAAATGAATCTGAGAAACATACCTCCCTCGAGGTCTCCTAGGATGACATCTGTGCCTTCTGTTACTCCTGTATCCCCCAAAGCTTGAATCTGGCACAGAGGAGACTCGTGGCAAACAGCTTCTGTTGCTAACTGACAGATTTTTGTGTCCAGTAGATGCCCTACTCCCAGTGCTCATTGGCAGACTGGGCATGTGCCAGGGAAGGGTGAGTTACAGGGGACAGGCCAGTGTAGCTGGGGGCTTTTGGAGACTCCTCACTTGAGAGGCTTTCCTTGGACTTGCTACGTAACCCAGGAGACAGGGACCAGCAAGACAGTTTGACAGGCAGGGCCTGGCTGATAGTATTGCTAACAGGGCTATGTTCTTGGCACAGTTCTTGGTGGGGTGCACTCAACCATGTCCAGCCATGGCTTTAATTCTCCTGCTAAATGCCCTGTCACTTGCAATTGAGATCGTGTCTACAGCTAGGTTTAAGGACAGCAAGATTAATTCGTTATCTTTAATCTTTAGCATGATCATTCTATCCTTTATGATTCCCTTATCATGCTTTCCTGAACAGCTAATTTCTCTTCTATTCCTCCCAATTAGCTGTGGATTAATGGTGATGCTGATCAGACCCTTTCCCTGGAGAGTTTCCAAGCTCAGCGTCTCTAGAGTAGCTCAGTCTGCTGTGTCAGCATCTGCCTCAGATACCAGCAGGCTGGACCACAGAGTGGGGTGGGGTAGGAGTGAGCCCTCGGGAATGATGGAGCAGGACCCATCATGACATCTGTTGTTGTGGACAGGTGTCCACAGAGCGCTGTGTGAGGTCACTGTATGTGACCTGTCATGCTCCCCAAAAGACAGTGAGGCATCTACTTCTGGATCCAGCTCTGTGAATGGGAGACCCTGGAATCCATGTTCCTCCTCCTTTCACACCTGAGGTCAAAGGATAAAGGAGAAGAAAGTCTGGCTGTGTCAGTTTTGGAGATAACACAGCCATGAGCCACACCATTCCCAGAGAAGCTCCAGATGGCCTACGAGATGTGGCTGAGACTGTAGGACATTATGGCCGCCCGTTCCTTCACACTGTCACTCTGATCCAGACCTACCCTCACAGCCTTTTTCTTCCTGCAGGTGCCTACCTGGTGCCCTATCTGGTGCTGCTGATCATTATTGGCATCCCCCTCTTCTTCCTGGAGCTGGCTGTGGGCCAGAGGATCCGCCGTGGCAGCATTGGTGTGTGGCACTACGTGTGCCCCCGCCTGGGGGGCATCGGCTTTTCCAGCTGTATTGTGAGTCTGGAGCTGGGGGCTGATGCTGTGTGGGAGGCAGAGGGGCCACTTTTGGATACCGAGGAGGAGGCCATCAGGCGTATAGGCCAGAGTCCTGGGCTAAGACAAGGGGAGCAAAGGGGACTGTCAACAGAATTCCTAACAGCTGGTATTCCAGGGCCATAGCCACCATATTTCCTAAACTGAAAGTTGATGGCACTGCCAGAAACCACATGTGACATCCACACATGATGCAAAAAGGGGAAAATGTGATATGTTCACAAGAATATCTCAGTCCCTAATATCTGGGAACAGATGGACTATCCAGGTCCCCACTACTCCCTATCAGCTTTCAGCTTCCTATGAACCCTTTCACCTTTCCTTGGGAAGCATGTTTCAAATGCATGTGGCTTAGGATCACTTGCTTGTGTGCCATGTAATTGAACGGTTGGAATACTCAGACAGGAACCTTATGATCAACCCATGAGGCATGAGGTTCTGTGTGACCTCATGGGCCTTGGATGGGGACTTCTAAAATCATCTATGTGGCTGTCGATGAACTCCTGTGAGGGCTGTGTACAGCTGAGGAATTTCTTACAGGCAAAGCCCCCAGGTGCCCACTCTCACACTTGAGATGAAAACTGGAATCTACTTCTGGAAAGGACTGGGGATTCTGTCAAACCCGGTGGGAGGGTTCTCCTAAGCCTGCTTGGTCCTGTTGTCGAACCAGACGTCAGCTCTGCCCAGCCTACTCTAGTCAGCCCCAGTGTAAATGCTGGGCTGGCCACGTGTGCACAAGCCAGAGCAGGGACACCCTCCCCTTGTCCTGGAAGCATCACAGTTAAGGAAATGGGAACCTTTCTGGGTGCTTATTCCAGTGAAACTCCTCCCCGCTTTTCTGTGTGTGTATGTGTGTGTGTGTGTGTGAATGCACGCTCCTCCACGAGGGTGCTCGTGTGAAAGGGAAGAAACCAGGGGCCCCCTGCACTCATACCAACTAGCAGTCTCAATTGTCTGGGATAGCAGGCCTCTGAACACCGGGAGCATGTACAGCCAGCCCTGCTTATGAGACATCGATAGACCCTCCTATTTTAATAAAACTCTGCCGAGCTTAGTGGCTGTGTCTCTGGAGGCAGGCAGGCTGCTTGAAGTTTTAAAGAAAGAGTAGCATCCGCAAGAAGAGAAGACGTAGGAAAACACTAATTCACACTGTCGCAGCGCACCATGGCCTGGGCCTATACGGACCGATGCTGTGGTGTGCCTCCTGGGTCCTGGAGGGCATTTCTACTTATAATCCCTAGTCATCAGGAAATGATGGAGGAAGGATTTCAAATATCTTACAGGAATTTTTTTCAAACTGGAAAGGATTAACATTTTAAGAGTTTATTGCTTAAAGGAGAAAATATCAATATTCCAGGAATTCCTTTGCGGACTGCCTGAGTACCAGATGAATGGAGGAGGACTGGGAGCAGGTCCTTCCTGCTCCACCTCAGCCCGCCCCCGCCCCAGTCCTCCATCTAGGCTGGTTTTGGCTGCTGGGCCTTGGATGGTGTGTCGGGAGGCGTGGCTTTGCCTGCAGCCTCCATGGTCTTACCATGGCCCTTGTCCTCAGGTGTGTCTCTTTGTTGGGCTATACTACAACGTGATCATTGGATGGAGCATCTTCTACTTCTTCCAATCTTTCCAGTACCCACTGCCCTGGAGTGAATGTCCTGTCATCAGGAATGGGACTGTGGCAGGCAAGTACAGGACCCCCAAGGAGCCCGAGCTGTGGTCTCCCGACAGTCCTTTCCCAGGAAGGAATCTCAACTCTTAGTGCTCTTAGTTGAGTTTCCATTGGTTCATTAAGTCACCTTGAAGAAACCACTTTGCACCCTGATCCTCATTGTTTTACTTCTCCTGAGGGAATGATCTCCTGATCTCCTTCCGGCCTGGCTCACAGAGGTCTCAGGGATTGCGTTTTGTTTAGGTATTACGAAGCACTCCAATACCTTAGGTCAAAGAACGATTTTTTTTAATCTGTTTACTGCAGACTGTCCCACCCCATAGATGGGGAAATAGATCATGAAGCCACTTTCCCATGCTCATACTGTACATTTAACCACTGATCTGAGCTTCAGTTTTCCAGCCTCTTTCTCAGGGCCTTCCCTCAAGAACCTTTAGAACCAATGTGACACTTTTTTTTTTGTGAATTAATGAACAGAAGATGGTCTGGGTGGGAATTCAGCCATTGGACCGTGGCCTAAAGCTTCTTAGGTCCCATCAGACTCAGGAGTCCTCAGGATCCGCTAGATCACGGTACAGCCCACCCTCACCTACCCATTCACCTACTGCTACCTGAGCAGGATCCCTCACAGGAGACCACCCTTAGGATGGGAAGCTGAGGCCCTGTGGCCTTTGCTGTGGTTTCAGTGGTGGAGCCTGAGTGTGAGAAGAGCTCAGCCACTACCTACTTCTGGTATCGAGAGGCCTTGGACATCTCCAACTCCATCTCAGAGAGCGGGGGCCTCAACTGGAAGATGACACTCTGCCTCCTTGTGGCCTGGAGCATCGTGGGCATGGCCGTAGTCAAGGGCATCCAGTCCTCTGGAAAGGTGAGCTGGAAAAATTCAGCAGGGACCCAGAAATCAGGAGCTTGGATCCCAAGCCACTGAGGAAGAATAGTTGAGTGATAGCCTTGGCCTCACAGGAGGGGCAGGAGCATTACCACTGCAGACAGCCCAAGGTCACCGCCTGGCCCCCATCTGCCTCGGTGCTCACAGCTCAGGCCTGCTCTGCAAACATTAAAGAGAGGGAAAGATAGAGGTATTGACCTTGGGGTGCCATCTGTCTAGATAGTGCCTCCTCAGGTTCCAAGCAAAAGCCCTTGCGTCGGGTACTCTGAGCAGTTCTTAATGAAACTCTGCCCCTTTCTTACACTGTCTACAGGTAAAAGGCTGTTTAAGCAGCCAAGAACTTTGATGCCCCCAGGCAGTCCAGTCCCTGAAGGTGCATAGCAGCCAAGCCCTGTCCACCTTTCCCAGCAGTTCCAACCTTTATTATTTATGACTTAATAGAATTGGGCTGTCGGAAATGAAAAGGATGAGCGATATCTGATAGCACCCCCCCCCATTCATTTTATAGGCAAGGGAACTGAAGTCTGTACAGGGAAGGCACCTCATCTAATGTCATACAGCTAGTCTGTCTGGGCTGGAACTGGAGCCCTGGCTGGCTGGCTGGCTGGAGTTCTTGGTTCTTTGTCAGACTTGATGAGTAAGGAAGCTAAGTTGTAGAAAGCTGGTATCACCTCAGCCACCAATCCGCTCCCCTCTGGAGGCCAAAATAGTGGCTGACACTTCATGGGATTTGTCAGAACAGCATTATGAGTTAAGAATATTACAGCCCTTTAGAGATAAGGAGATGGAGGCATTCTAAGATGAAGTAGGTAGAGCAAGGCCCAGGGATTGGTCGATGGTAGCTGCAGGATCAGTACTCAGAGAGCTAGTTCAGGAGGCATCTTCTTAGCCTTTCTGCTGCCCTGTCCTTAACATCCCCAGGATTTGCTTCAGTGCGGCTGAGGTTCCATGAGTAAATCCTTTGTGTGTGGCTCTGTACCAGGCGCATAGGGCTGTAGAAAGGTGCATGGCAGACATCAGCTGGCAAGTAGGACATGGTTCAGGTCCAGGATCCCTAGGGGCTGGGCCTTCTTCTGATGGGTTCTGCTGGGGAACAGTGGCAAGACCTGTTAAATGCCTTTTGCTATAGGACCTCTAAGGACATGGGGTTGGGGTAGGAGGATCCTGGCACTGTTCACTGGGGACACGAGACTGGGAAAATGAGAAGGGACAACATAGGATTTCTTCACTCCCTAACAACCCTTAGGTCTGGGGCCTAATAGTTCACTCCCACCAGCCTTTGAAAGGCAGAGCAGCCCTAGGCAGAGCAGTGCTGACTGCAGCTTGTTCTGCTCCTGCCTGGGCCCAGGGCCAGATGGATGGTGGGTTTGGCTCAGTGCCTGGGGGCTCCAGGCTCCAAGTTCTGCAGCCTAATATCAGAGGAGGATCATGGGCTCCAGCTGTGAGCAGGGAAGGACGGTGCCTGCTGTAGGAGGGGCTGGCCTGACAGGGCCTTTGTCTTCTCTGCAGGTAATGTATTTCAGCTCCCTCTTCCCCTATGTGGTGCTGGCCTGCTTCCTGGTCCGGGGGCTGCTGCTGCGAGGGGCGGTTGATGGCATCCTGCACATGTTCACACCTAAGGTAAGGGTTTGTGGCTCCCACATGCGGGGGACCACTGGCAGATCCACTGGGCCTGGTCAGCTTCAAGCAGTTTCACACCCAAACCCTTCTGTGTGTCAGGTGTTTTGCCAGCCCTATGGGGAGAGAGGCACAGGAAGGGGCCATAGACTCTGCCCTCCTGTTTCAAGAAGGACATTACATCAATTTGGGTAAAATCAGAAAAGGCCCCAGGAGAGGGGTGGTCTCTGAAATGAGCCTTGCAGAGCAGGAAGGGCTTTGGTGAGTACCAGTATGATTGATTAATCAAAGGAAACCACATGAGCAAGGATGTGGAAAAACACTAGGCATGCTTTGCCATTGAAAACAGCACAGGCAGATTCCATTGAAATGTGAGGAAGGGGGCTTCATTCATTCATTCATTCACTCATTTGAGGGGTGGCTTCATTTCATGGATCTATGGCAACAGGAGCCAAGAAGATGAGCTCCCCTCAGGAATCCCAGTTTATACCCAAATCCAGGAAACAGGGAGCCCACTCAGGCTCAATATAAGCCTGTGAAGGGCATGCACAGGATTTTTGTTTATAGAGGAAATAGGTGTCCTGCAGACGTACATCCAGCCTTCGGGAAGGTGGTCATCCCCACCTCAGGGCCATGGCCATTTAGACCACTGGACACAGCTATGGGAGTCGAGCCACTGAGGCATAATAGTTTTAAGTTGCCCTAAACAGCATAATCAATACCTGCAGCTGGTGGGGCTAAGAATTTCACCTCAAATCCCCCTGAGAAGTAGCAGCCAAAAGGGTTGCTAAGATTCTAGCCCATGGGTTCCAGGTCAGACTGGGCCAGGCCAGCTCGAAACCTCAGGGCTCAATAATGCCACTAGACATCCGTATACAAATGCACACGCACACTCCCTTACACAGGCAGTTCACACTGGGTGAAGCATAAGACCCCAGGTTCTATGGAGTTTGAAGTCCCCAGGTCCCTTTGACTCTCCTGCCCGGCTATTGTGAGTGGGCTCTGGTGTGTGGAGGATGGCCTTGGGTAGGGCTCACACTACCCGTACCCACACAAATTGGCCCTAGGCATCCTTGGACTTAACCAAGATTTCTACAGACATACCCACAAAGCATGAAGTACATCTCCTAAAGCAAACCGCAGGGCTGTAAACCCATGGTATCTAATAGATGACCATCCTGTTTCCTCTGGGGTAAGTGGTCATGAGAAGGCCATTGGCTTCTGTGGATTACTTCTCTAGAGGCATGGTCAATCTCAAGTGTCTGCCTGAGTCTTCAAGTTATACTTCATCAAGTATATGAGGATATTATATGCTCTGGTCATGTACATGAACATGAAGCTTCACGGATGTCTCCAGATAGGATGCTGGTGTAGCTAAGGGTCACTGGTATGAAGATCCAAAAGCCAATGGCACAGACTCACTGGAATTGGCCACCAGTCTGAGCACACATGTTACTTCAATTCTTATTGGATTCAGCCACCCATTACAATGTCCCTTTAATTCTGAAATATCTCAAGCTTATAATTATAATATCTAGTAACAGAATAGACATTTTAAAAATATTTATTTATTTATTTATGTATATGAGTGCTCTATCTGCAAGTACTTCTGAATGCCAGCGAGGGCATCAATGATCCTAGTTGTGAGCCACCATGTGGTTGCTGGGAATTGAACTCAGAACCTTTGGAAGAGTAGACAGTGCTCTTAACCACTGAGCTGTCTCTCCAGTCCTATAATAGACATTTTTAAAGAAGTAAAATATGACAGATGACACTAAAGTGCCTTTGCAATGCTCTCTGATGTCACATTTCTTTCCTTTCTCAAAGGCAGCTACTGGCAGTCTGCTCTTGCTGCTATAACAAAATACCTTAGACTAAGTAATTTATAAGAAAAATAAATTTATTGCTCACAGTTCTAGAACTGGGAAGGTTAAGGAGAAGGCACCACAGATTCCATGGTGAAGGGGGAAAGGAACCAGCTTGAGCCTCTATTATAAAGACACTAATTCTGTCCACAAGAGTGGATTCTTCATGATTTAGTCACTTCCAGGGAATCACTCCTGAATATTAAATTCCAATAGGCAAATTGGGGTTTACAGAAACTCGTATTCTGAATTTGGGATTTATCCTGCTAAGGCTTTCTTTAAGATGTTATACATGGACATATTTCCACAAACAGTGCATAGCATTTCTATGTACTCTTAAAGTGTTTACATGTAACTTCACATTATCCTTCTATCACTTGCTTTTCATTTTGCACAACATGATTCTTTTTGTTTTATTTATATTGATATGTAGGGCTCTAGCACATCTATTTCACCACAGAATTAAATTAAAATGTACTTATTTGTTCTCTACTTGATGGCCATTTAAGTTGTTTCCAGTTTTTACTAGTGCTGATAAGGCTATGTTCTGTCAGTTTTCTTGTTGCTGTAATACATAGTATGACAAAAAAAAAAAAAACAAAAATAAAAACAAAAACAAAAACAAAAAAAAAACCAAACTTGAGGAGGATGGGGTTGAGTTCATCTTATGCTTCCAAGTCACAGTCCATCACTGAGGAAAAGTGAGAGCAGGAACTCGGGCAAAAACTATGAAGGAAGGCTGCCTACTGGCTTGCTCTCAGATGTATGATGAGCTAGCTTTCTTAGATAACCCAGATCTATCTGTCTGGAGATGGTGCTGCTACACACAGTGGACTGGACTATCCTACATCCATCATTAATCAAGATGATCTTTTATAGACAAGTCCACAGGCCAGTCAGATCTGGGTGGTTCCTCAGTTGAGATTCCCTCTTCCTAGTTGTGCCAAGTTGACAACAAAAAATAACCAGCACAGGCTATAATCAACATCATTACACAAGTCTTTGTACAAGTTTCTCTAGGGTATCCACAGTAAAAATTGAAAGTGCTGTCTCAAAGGGTATGCCCATCTTCAGCCAAAAGAATTCCCAAATGGTGGTATCCACGAACACCCACACCAGCTACATAATTCTCAGTCAGTCCACGTTTGCCAGGCTTCATTTATTTTGCCAGACAAATGGACGCATGTAGCTCACGTACTCACTGAACAACAGGGCTACCTCCTTTCTCAAATCATTTCCTGGATGTTCCGGAAGCTACGCAAATGTTTCTTGGCATTTGTAGAGGACAGAATCTTCTGAGTTGAAAAAAATCAAACCTAGAAGACCCTAGAAGAGTCAAGTCCCCAAGAATCAGCATGGTATAGCTCATAGCTAAGGGCTCATTGGTCTCCAGGTCAAGCCTTTCTGACCCATCTTGACATTGTGTTCACTGAGCAATTTTATGGTACAGCCCCTGCCCTTGACTCTGGAGGATTGCATTGAGCAAGGAGGGGCTAGAAAGACTTGAGCTCTCCAGCATCAAGGGCACTGAGACAGTCTGTGCTCCTGTTTGCCTGGAGTGATTTATATTTACACATGCCTCCATTACTGTGCAGAGACGGTGAACCAACTCTCGGCAACAGCCATCTAGAGTCAATGTGGGGTGAGGACCATTGCAGAGAGGTGGCTGTTTTAGCTCATATGAGGTAAAACTTCGGTCTCCAGGGCCATAACACAAGGATCCTAGGGCCATCTAAAGTTCTTGGTGCCATTGAGTACCAGGTCACTGTCTAGGGCTGCTCAGGATATGGGCACTGTTTCATTAATATAGGCTACAATATTAATAAAATCCCAAGAAGTCACGCCATTTGGTATCTTGAACAAAAATCCAAGGAAATTTTGACCAGGGCATCTCAGACTCTTTTCAGATTGTGTTAGATGATGTGAGAGGTCCTCCCCCCTTCTCTGACTTCTTCCAACATCAGAAATTATCTGGGCATTAGGACCTATCCTTTCTGTCCAGGTCTGCAGGCAGAGAGCTACTGGATCGATAACTTCTGTGTGTTCAGGCTGCTGTGATGACTCATTAGTGCCTCTGATGGGCTAGTAACTGGTGCTAACGGCTACTGAATGCCTCAGAATTCCCAGGCAGCATTCCCGTATCATTTCTTTCATCAGATTACAAAGGTGCCATCCTATTTCATCATTACGGGTGCCATGCAATCCTCATGTAATTTGCCCAATGTAAAATGGTGAATTACAGAGAGTTTTCTAACTATATGATTGAACTCTTAGAAAGTCAGAATTATAAACATTCGTGTCCTCTGGCTCAGCAATTTCACTTGTAGGTGATGACATCCCTACAAATGTCATCAAAGATAAGCAAAATGGTCAGTGTTCAGTATTGGTTGCTATAGCATTTGTTTTAGTAGCAAGAGACTGGCATGCTCCAAATGCACGAATTTCTATCAGTTGTTGAATTCATCCAACAAAGGCTCACTGTGCTAAGACCGGGATTCAGTAATGAATAGAGCAGACAAATTTCCCAGCCCTCAGAATGGTTGGTATAAACTAAGATGCAGCACCATTGCTGACCAGTGTCTGGGAGAAGACTAAAGCAGGGAACAAAGAATTGGGGAATCGAGGGTGCACATTCACACACTTTGTTCACACTGGCCAGTGAGGTTCTGCGCAGAGGAATGAGAGGGCACGGTCACCCTGAGCCTCTCAGAAGACTGCCATCGAGAGTCCAAGAGGAGGACAGGGAGACTTGCCTGTGAGGGTCACTGGCTGACAGGCAACTGTAAACCAAGTGGTGATGGAGGGATGAACGTTGGCCGAGTTGAAGAAACACTCAGAGAACAAACTCAAGAGGGTTTGCTGTTGTTTGGATATGAGGTGTGGGCGGGGTCAAGAGTAACACCGAGGTCTTTTGCCCCAGCAACCAGAAGGATGAAGATGATACTTACAGAGATGGGAAGGACGGTGGAAGAAGCAGAATTTAGGAGGGACACCCAGAATATTGTTTTAGATGTGGCACTTTTAAAATGTCAAATAGATAGGCAGGTGGGGATGCTGAGTGGCAATTTGCTCTATAGGTCTGGAAGTAACAGGTGAAGGAATAAATTTGGGACTCTTGGGTAATGGAATCGAAAGCTA